GATGTTAGTGACCCCCCTAGGTTTATGTGGCTCTTCTTGTCTTACAAAAAGGCATAAATATAGCATAAAAGTACAACTACTCCACATTTCTAATATGTTTTATTTTAGGAAATTGTTATTAGTACTCTAAAAATCTCATTCTATACTCCAAAATTTCTATATTATGAAAGAAAAATACACTTGTGAAGAGTGTAAAATGAGATTTTTGGAGTGTCAACAACACTTCCCTTATTTTAATTTAAACCAATATCTACCAAAAGTATATATGCACCGTACTTTATCTCTCGTAACATCTTCTATGAGTTTAAGATTTGTATATAAATTTATTCACAAAGAGGAATATAATCGCAACCCTTTAGGTACGACATCATCTTGTGAGGCATGTGTTGACATTATGTAGTTTTTCTTCTATTGAAGTACATACAAAAATAAGAAAACATCTAAAATGAATATAATTAAAGACAAGACAATTTGTTTAGAAAACTCATATTTTGATTACTAACTAGTCAAGAAAGGGAAGAAAAAAAAAAACTAGGGAAATACCTCAAAATGGGACAATTTCTTAATTTTGAGACCAAAAAAATGACAAATCGGCCTTGCACACCATGCGCAAAACCAAAATTACTAAAATACCCACATATAAATGGGTTATTTGCTCCCATTTTCTGATTTTATCTCTCTCTACTCCCTCTCCCTCCCTCTCTCTATCTTCTCACTTTCTCCCTCACGCACTCTCTCTCTCTCCCCGTCTCACACTGTGCACACACGGTACATTGTCATCCCGACCAACACCACCCAAATCGAAGCCACCAATGATTTCATTTCGTCTTCACGAGTCTAAAACACCTAGCCTTGTCATGAATCTCATCCCCGATCATTGGGATTGAAACTCAAGCATGCCGCGAGTTTTTCAGCCATTTTCTTGCAACATGGCAAACAATTGAGGTTCGAGACCACCACTACTGGACTCGTATTGAGGGTGGAAACAAAGCCCATTCATTAAATGTTGGTGTTTTGCAGGATGAATTTTTTAGGATTTGCCCACCGTATGTACACGATATGCACATGATGTGATCACATATCTGAGCCAACCCAAAAAACCAGATGAATTAATACTTATAAGTTAAATTAGGGTTTGTGTTTCATGTTGGGGCCTATGGGTTGTGGAATAAATTTCAAGTTTTGACGTGCTACAAAACTAGGATGGAACAATTTCTGGTTCAAGTGTCTAATTGCATAAATTTGTCAAAATTTTTCCGTAATGTGCATATGATGTGCATGGCTAACTTCATAATAATATTCCAACTCCAAAAACCCATAACTCACAACTCTCTTTTCAAAATCAGAAAAATGATGTCATCACTTGCGACGTCACCACCATACACACTATATGCACACCACATGCACATCATATTTACATTACATGCACATGATATGCACAGAACTGGAGGTTAAGCAACGAGCTGTTTTCTTATTAATAAGAAACTTTAACGACAACCTATTAGTATAATTGATACAATTAAAACATAATTGTTACGTATGTAAGGTTACCGTGGCAGTTTGAAAAGTCTTGTTATGTATATCAATCCCCGCTTAATCGTGCATGTGGAAAACATGATACTCATTGTCGTTATTTCATGGACATGCATGATCCTTAAAATCCTTTAAGCTTTTTCTTAATTTTTTTTTTTTTTTTTTTTGTTGAGGCCAACTAGGTTATAGGCATACTCGCTAAATTTTTGGGGCACAACATACGTGCATCATAACTAGTGAACATCCCCGCTTCTCATATTAAGATGTAGCCATGCACACTATATGCACACCACATGCATGCACATTATAGAAAAAATTTCACAAATTTATGCTATTGGAACACTTGAACCAGAATTGTTCCATCCTAGTTTTGCAGCACGTCAAAACTTGAAATTTATTTCACTACCCATAGGCCCCAACATGAAACACAAACCCTAATTTAACTTATAAGTATTAATTCATCTGAGTTTTTGGGTTGGCTTAGAACTGTGAGCATATCATATGCATGTCGTTTACATACAATGGGCAAATTCTGAAAAGTTAATAAAAAAAACACCAACATTTAATGATTGGGCTTTGTTCCCACCCTCGATGCGAGTCCAATGGTGATGGTCTTGAGCCTCGATTGTTTGCCGTGTTGCTGGAAAATGGCCAGAAAACTCGTAGCATGCTTGAGTTTTGATCCCAATGATCGAGGATGAGATTCGCAACACGGTTAGGTGTTTTGGACTCATGAGGACGAGATGAAATTAGTGGTGGTTTCGGGATGACAGTGCACCATGTGTGCAAAGTGAGAAAGGGAGAGAGTGTGTGAGGGAGGAAGTGAGAGAAGATAGAGAGAGGGAGAGAGAGAGAGAGAGAGAGAGAGAGAGATAAGAAAATGGGAGCAAATAACCCATTTATATTTAAAGGCATTTAAGTCATTTCAGGGTGCATGAAAATCTCATTTATGTCAGATTTTTTTGCATGGCGTGTGTATATTTGAAATGTTCTATTTCTATCTCAAGATTAAGAAACTGTTCTATTTCTAGGTATTTCCTAAAAACCTATAAGAAACAAATTTTGTATCACATAGCTACAGCTCGGTTTCATAAATTTATTTTTGGATTAGTAGAATGTTAGGTCTTAAAAGTAATTTGGTTAGTGCATAATTTTGCTTGGCTTTTAGTCCTTAATAGAATCTTTAGACATAAATGTTTAGGGTATTTCACTTATACGGTATAAGTGGTGTTACCTGCAAGGATCATCACTTCATGTTGTGACAAATTTAAGTACCACTACTCACGTATTTTTATTTAGAACTAAAGCTTCGGAACAAATTTAAGCACCACTACTCACGTATTTTTATTTAGAACTAAAGCTTCGGTTAAGCCTAAGTCTAAAAGGACTAAAGCTCCAATTTTCTCGATATTTTACCTCAATGAGGATGATAAAATTTTCAAAACTTTACCGATGCACAATAATCGTGAGCCAAGTAAAAGTAACGTATGAAAGTAAATCCATGAACGATTGACCTTTGTCAATTTACCTTTAGATTATGGTTATAAACTATACTAACCACTAAATATTCCAGTGTAGTGATATTCTTTTTTACTTGTCAGCATTATGTCTTATATTTGACTACTTTGAATAGCAAGTTCAATACCAACATTATTATTGCTAGCTACTTATGGGACTTAGTTCAAATACAACCAAAATTAACATAAAATATCGTTGTAACAAAACAAAAGTCATGAACGACACCAAAAAAATGTGGTGATGGCCAGGAAAAAATGTAGGGTGGCTGGAGTGGGGTGGCATAATAGATGGGAATGGTGGGGAGGTCATACTTTGAAGGAGGGTGAAATTGGGTATTATTTTTCTTTTACCACTGTATACTTGTACGATGATGTTTGACTTAAAAAGTGACTTTACATGCTTAATGCATGACACTTTACATGACAAATTGGATGAAGTTTAATTAATTTGATGAAAAATCTCACATTGATTATTTTAATATTGTTTGGGATCTTAATCTATTGAAAAAAATAATTTCAAAGGTAAAATTAACAATGTCGAGATAGTTCATAAGGTAAAACGGCACTTTGCCATGTTTTGTTCAACATTGAGTGAGGTTGTTTGGTAGAAGAATTTTTTATTTGTGACAATCAATCTGCCACCTATCCCCATGTTAACCTCATTCATTTCATATAGTGATCAAAGATTAATGGTCACAGCCTTAAAATTTGATATTAACAAACGAGATCAAAACAACATAATAACATTCATTTAGTCTCAACTCTTATTAAATTATCACTTAGTATTACGGTCTATGGTATTCATTTTCACTTATAACTGAGATGTCTAAGGTTCGATTCTTGTTAAAAATAAATTTGAATCACATTATTACTAATCAATTCTGAGGTTAACATTTCTGCAAAAAAGGACTTCTCCCACCCTCTCCCTCCCTGCTTCGCCTTCTCTCTGTAACCCTTGCCGACGAAACCATAATTACCCTTTTCGGTACCACCCTTTCGATCATCCAACTCTTCCCTCTCCGGCATGTCTACACGCGGTCTTTGCTTTCTGTCGGTGCAACGACGTCAGCTCCTTCCCATCCATCGAACCTAAATCGAAACCAACCCCAACCGCTCCTTTCCAAAGCACCCCACTCTTCCCTCTCTCCTCCTCTCTCTAGCATCCCTACCACCTAGCCTCTGATCCAAAGCAATCGCAGCCTCTCCTTTCCAAATTAAAGTTTGGCAAAACGGGTCATTTGGCGGCATCGAAAGCAGGACCCATCGAGGCAACGGCAAAAGCCCAAACCCACAAAGCCCCACCTCTAGATGAATGGCACGACTGTAAATAAAGTAAAATCTACCCCAAAACACTTTCCATGAGTACAATTCGATTTCATCCTTTCCTTTAGACTAAAGTAATTTGACTAAAAAACCTAATATCATTGTACAAATGAATAATATTAGAGAATTTATCATATATAGCTAAAATTTAGAAAGTTTTAATGAAAAGCCTATGATACTGTTCACTTTAACGAAAAATCATATTTTTACACTAAAATAAAAATGAAAATAATTTGAAAACTTTGAGTTTTAACGATAAGTACAAAATAAAAGGTAAAATGAATAGTACCAAAATTGACTTTTTAATGTAAAAATATGATTTTTTTGTTAAAATGAAAAGTACTAAGAATTTTTCATTAAAATCTCTTAAAAATTAAAGAGTAAATATTGATTATATATAAAAAATTGCCATAATATTACGTGTCGGTCTTGCTAGGAAACTGAAAATTAAATCAACAATTAATTACCCCGAAGCCGTCCGTGTACGCGCGGTAGTGAACAGTAGGAAGGCGAGAACAAAAAAGCGGCGAACATGTCAGAATTTCATGTCATAACACAACGAAAAGTCGCTCGCAGCCTCCTCCTAACACCAGAGACAAACCCTCACTTGGTCTCCTGGTTTTCCATCATCCACACCCCCCCCCCGGCGGAACCCAGATCCCGCAACCGCCGGACTCGTTCGATTCAACTGTCAGCCCCGATCCACCATCTTTGACTGATTAACGACCATGGTTCGGACCAATTAAGACCCAGGAGGAGATGAACGTGAGCCATGGGTCGGTTCACCCAGTTGAAGATGTACCCACCACAGATGGGGCCGGCCCGAACCCGCTCCGGGTCCGAATGAAGGATCTTCCGGGCATGCCCGGCACTCCGGGTGGCCTCGTCTTGCGCCTCGCCCAGTTTTTCTTCTCCGCCGCCGCGCTCGTCGTCATGGCCACCACCTCTGACTTCCCCTCCGTCACCGCGTTTTGGTGGGTAGCCGCCACAACTGAACCCATATCTTTTTTTCAGCTTATTTTTTGTTTATTCTTTTAATTATGCTTAAATTTCAATCTGATAGGTTTTTGAGTTTGTTGTGTTTCGTGTGTGGATTTCAGCTACCTTGTTGCAGCTACTGGTTTGCAGTGCTTGTGGAGCTTGTCGTTGGGCATTGTTGACGTTTATGCCCTTCTAGTAAGGCGTTCTTTGCAGAACCATGGAGTTGTGTGCTTGTTCACCCTCGGCGATGGGGTAAGACCAATCGTAATTTCGAGTATTTCCTTTTAGGAGATTTCAGTGTTTTCAACAATTTGGAAATGTTGTTCTTGTTGCTTTTGTTTGGTTTTACTTTTTACATTCAAATTGAAGCATTTTCGAGTTTTTATCAGTCCACCATTTGTGAATTTTACTTGTAAATAGCCGAAAAAGTTATTGCCTTCTTTACCAGCTGTATAACTTTTTAATTAGTATTGGTGAATCTAATTGGTGCTGATAGTGCAAAACATAATGGATCTGATTCTTAGGCTAATTGGACTGGCTGAGAATTGATGACCATTTCTTTTGGGAATCAACGGTGGTTTTAGGAATCAACATAATTGATGACCATTTCGTGAGAACTTTGTCAAAGTAGCATGGTCCTACATTGTCTTATGGATGTTAACTTGCTATTCCTAAGTAGCTAACCAAATATAGATGATTATGTTGGAAACTTAACTAATGTGTGAATTGAAATAAGCTTATATAGTCACCGTTGAAGAATTGATGCGAGTAGAAGGCCCAACATAGTTGGTCAGTGAACTTCTATGAAAACCTCTATCAAATTCATGTCTGAATTGCTTGAAGATTTGATATAGAAAAATATCGGCTTGGTTTAATACTAAATAGTGATACCATGTATAATAAAAGTTGAAAAATCCCATGCGAGTGTACTCCCTTAACTTGCTCTCGATTTCCTTCTGTTGTTATTGTCAACATTTTCTCTTGTTTGCAACATTTTCCCTTGTTTGCTTTTGCACAGTCTCAATTTGGGCATTTACTTATTCGCTATGCTCAATTTACAGAGTCTAAATTGTCAACATTCCCATTGTTTGATGCAGGTGACCTCCACTCTTACATTTGCTGCTGCTTGTGCTTCTGCGGGCATCACAGTTCTCATTGACAATGATCTTGATGGCTGTGCCCGCAACCATTGTGCACAATTTGAAACAGCTACAGCCATGGCTTTCATATCCTGGTTCGCTGCATTACCATCTTTTCTCTTGAATTTCTGGTCACTGGCATCTCGATGAATGCATGTATAATGAAAAAACACTCGAGAAGAGAATGATGACACGAGCCATGTTTGAATGCTAGCGAAGCTTATTGTGTTTTGCATGATTTTTCTTGCCACTGCAATCTGCTTTAGAGTGAAACTTGTACTTTTGTGTGTATAGTTGCTGTGACATCAAATATTCGTGGTCGTGAATGTGGGTTGGTTAGTTATCTTGTCAACTAAACATTTACATGTAGTGTGAAGAGATGTATGTTTTCATGTTATAATAGATTCTATTCTGCCTCAGCTTTTCTTGCGCCTTTCTTTCCGTTCTTTTTTTTGCACTTAGAGTGATTTGGGAAGGAGAAAGCACTGCATTTGTCATTTTAGACATTTAATGTCAGATATGATTCTCATCCTGAGGCACCATCGCTCGTTGGTTGACTGTTTTGCGGCGTTGCCTTGATTTTTGGTTTATAAAAATTGTTATCGCACGTCTGGTCTCTAATGTAACTCTGATATTTAAGGGATGACAGTTGAATACGTTGATTTTCATTTTGACGAAGGAATTTTGACTCGAAATTACATTATTTTTCGATTTCAGTCATTGTGTGTGACCAGAATACCACTTGGTTCAAGCATAGTTCGGGTCAAATTTTTGTTACTTCATCCTAGGTTAATACTCAAATACCATTCAGCACTAGATGGTAATTGATTACTTGATTAGCCTGAGTCTTTCCGTTGAGTGTAATGTTACTTGCCTTGTCGTTCCGGTCTTCACAGCCGATTCCGCGGATCAAAGTATCGGCAGATCCCGAATTCGTGCATCAAAGAATGGGCAGGTACATGGTCGTTGATTGTACTTGCATTCCGCTCGGCAAGCACGGAAAAACTCGTACCCGCATCTACAAACACCATGCATGAAAAAATATAACACGACCACCAAGTGATCAGAATACATGAAAAAACCAACAACAATCTGAAACTCTAATGTATGGCAGGAGTGATATGCATGCACGGGGAAAGGGGGCTCAAGTACGCACCTGGACTGAGTTTTCACGTATTCCAAATCGCCCCCTCTTTCTTTCTGGCCATCGAGGAAACGAGTGGTCATATATTGTCAACTTCTCGCGAGAGACAGCGCCTTGAAGCCAATCATCCGGTGAATACCTCAACTCCGGCAGCCATTGATTTCTACCGAACGAAGAGAGGCAGAAGATACTTGGAGACTTGTTAGTTCCGAACAGCTTTGAATCTCCAATCTGCGAACACGACTCTGAACTGAAACGGATGGTCGACTCTCACACATGCTTTATTTCCAAAGATGCACCGGTTTTCTAGCAGACTCGGCGTCTCTAACAATTTGGAGCAATATTTTATCTTCAATTCGCGGAGGGATGGGAAACGAAATGGCACATTTGTCGAGTTTAAACAGTGACAAACGCAGCTCCTCAAAGCAAGGTAAATCAAATCACTCTTTCTCAAATTTGAAATCTTTCTTCAACAAACTCGTCATGTTTACTTTGATTACTTAAATGCATGTGAGCATAGCAAATTGCAACAGAGTTGCAGATTTTGGATGCTTCAAAGCAAAAATTAAATTAAATTAATTACAAAACTTCTTTTCCTTTCCCACATTTCAGCTTTTCTTTTTTTCTCAAGCTTCTTTTGCGTGTTCAAGCGGAAGAAAGTGAGAGGGATGGAATAAATTAAAACGTTCACACAAAAGACCAGTTTATGAAGCAGAAGGCAAGGCAATGGACAGAGTTCTCGTCTGCTGCAACTACTTTCCATGCAATCGCTTGCTCGTACGATACGTGGCGTCCCATCGTCGACATGCAGATGCCAGCCGGCAAGTATGCAAACCCCTGACAAGAAACAATAAAAGATGAGCTAGGCTACAACGGGAAAATATGGTGGTGGAAAGATGGATGAATCTGATGTAACACATACCTGGTTCATTAGCTTAGCAAAGTCTGCACACAACGTCTTGCGTCCGGACTCATCGAAAATCTTGTCCAATGAGATGTCCTGAAGGGCAACTAATGATGTCTCCAGCATGTCAAGTCCTGCCTGGTTTGCAAAGATGAAAACCGGCATTGACTGCAGAACGAACAATTGCACAGATTACGATCTCCACAGATTATTAAACAGAATGACATGCTCAATTTGCTATGCTACTGGGAAAAAATGATGTAAAGATTGAGCGTGTGTCCGTCATGTGATGTTGCACTTGTACCTTCAATGAACAACACAAAATGGCATCTTGGTGATGCCATAAATGTTTCAACATCGAGTCACCGCCCAAGGAATCATGTCTCAGTAATTCACCCCCAACATGATAACTGTAAGAGATAAAGAAAATGATTCAGAAATCATACAGAAATATGGTGGAATTCTTCCCACCAGATTAATCATGCATGCGGTCTAAAGCATTGAAGTGCATGCCTGTAACTCTGGCAGATCCAGTGAGCCAGTGTTTGAGCTTCAGGTGAGCCGGGAGATAGTTTTGGTCCTACGGACGGACTCAATCCAGATGGAGATATAGCCATCGCGACTCTCTGCACAGATGAAATTACGCTTCGAACATACTGCCGTGCCATGTTTGTGACATTCTCTTGCAGACTATTATCGAACGGAAACTGGAAGGCAATCGTCAATACTGATCGAGTATTGTGAAATGTAGTAAGCTCTCCAGCTGCATTACTCGTTGTTGAGCCCACTTCAAGACTGGATGTCAGATCTAATGTTCGATGTGTATTCAAAGTATCCTTTGAATCACCCTGTATTCATAATTCCATGACATTTATGTTTGGGGAGCCCAAAAACACATTAATATGAATTCCAGTACAGCCCAATGGCTACAACAATATTGATGCATAAGTCTACTTGGTTGAATTATCAGGTAAAACTGACATGAAGCACGAAAAAAACTCAACTGTTTTTGAATCCAGTGGGATAATACGGAAACCAGAGGGAAGCAATGGAGCATCATCTGGAAACATCTCATCAATTGGAGCGAAAACAAGCTCAGAGCAGGCTCCGACAGCATTCTCATCAGCTCCACTACATATCTGTCAATAAAAACAAGACATTTTTTTCGTATGATCAGTACACTAGCAGATAGTACCCCAACAGATAGTGGCAAGGGCAGCAGTAGCTGAACAAGAAGCAGGAAAAAGCACCTGCAAGAGATGAATGTCCCTTGATGCAAAAGCATCCTCTTGAGTGAGAGAATGGCCTTCAAGTCGAACAACTTCAAGCAACTGGAATCAAATTAAGAAGTTAGAAAAAAAAAAGTAAAGGGGGATGGAAAGCACTCCGTAGAATATACTTTCAATTCAACATGACAAAAAGTGGTTGCAATTATTATCCTGTTGATGTAATGTTTCACAACAGAGGTTCATGTGTTACAAAAAAAACAGTACAATGAGAATTTGAACCAATTGAAACAACATACCTCTTCTTGTTCAATTGTGTGGCCAAGTGGCATGATAATTTGTCCCCCGGTAAACCTTGTCGGCCTCATCCCAGGATAAGCATACGCACCTGCTTTCATAGATACGGCGGAGTAGGCATCAACATTGAAATCTGCCCACTCTGAACGGTGCTCCCTCAAGAAACGAACAAGAACAGCAGGGGGCACATTCTGGAGTTGAAAAAGAAACAAGCGCCAAGTTCTCATTAGCTTAATTTAGGGTTTTAGCTGGACAACGCATATAAGCACCCAAACATTCAAGATTTAACACTGATTTCCCCAAATCCAAGACGAAGCAATATTAATAGATGCAGAGGGGACAAAATCATTCTAAATACAGCCCTCCAGAGAAAAGCTAAATGCCTAATTTCAGAAACAACAAAGTGGTAAAGAAGAATCATGGACATTATACTATTTTCCCAGCACAGAAAAGGCCTGCTCAATCAGCACAGAAACTATCATTTTCAAAATTGATGGTCATCAGATTCCAGGCTTACTTGTAGTAACATGGAAGCCTTTGCACAGAGAACACCTCCAAGTAATGCAAGGGAATTGGCATGGTTCGAGGTAGAAGTTAAATTCTTAGTTGAATTGACTGCAATTATAACATCGTCAGCACCATCACAGTTGACCAATGACCATCCATCATCATTGAATCCATTGACAGCATCATTGAAGCCTCTACAAGAAGACAGATCGGTAATTAAAATTTATTTACAAATATAATAGAAAAAGATAAAGAGTGGTTATTAACACTCAAAAAGGTGACCAAGGAATTATACAAACAGATGTATCAAATGAGCAGATGACCAATAAACGAAGAGTATTACCCCACCTGATCAATCTTTGGCTAAAAGTTCGCAGAACAGCTGGCTGCCTGCCCAAACTGTATACCACTTCACCACTTGTCTCTTCAGCTATTTGTCTGATATAGCGCAACGCCTTCACAAAATAAGTTTAGTTAGTACTTCTATTCACAATATAGCTAATCAATTTTGTAGCATGGGGAGGGAAGGGGTTTATTAGTTTATATTTCCATTCTAAAGCCAACGTGCTATAAACACTGGCACACCGCAGCATTCAGAAACTTACAGGTGAGAAATTCTACTTTCCAGGGTGCCTTTGGTTCATATCAAGGGGCTTAAAACTTATTATGTCTAAAGATGTAAGGGAAGATGGGAACTTGGAAAGTGCACTTTTTATACAGAAAATCAGAATATCCAGTACATTGTTATATATATTGCACAGAGGAACGTATCAAATCAATCACAAAGTACTCACAGCAATAGTCATTCTTTGCGCTACCACTTTAGACGATTCATAAAGCGGTCTCAGCACCTCTGGCACACTCCATGCCTGGAATAAGATGAGAAACAATTGAGTTTTCCTAATTAAGAGAGTTACGATAGTAAGAATACAAAACTGATACCTCAAGATTCAGGTGGTCAACAATATGAACGATTGATCCTCCACCCTCACATGGTCGAATCAGATAACCACTAGGAAGCATCGCGCCTCTAACAAACTGTGAAGCAGAAGCAGGATTTGGGCCAGCACCAGAACCGGAAAGAGATCTTTCACACACCTTATAACATAGAAAACAAAATATTTTTACAGCACATTAGGTATCCACTTACAGGAGTACGAAAAAACAGAGACGGAAAGCCAATTTGTATTTTTCATAAACTGGTCTCCACAAAGTATGGCAACATAACATACACCAGAATGCTTACCACAAAACTGGCAACATAATATACACCAGAATGCTTACCACAAAACTGCCATTGTCTAAAGTTGTAGTGTATCTTAGGGTCCAAAAATCCCTTGCAGGAGCCAATGTAGTTGGAGCATATGTCTGAAGCAATTAAATGTCAGTTATTCCTTGGATATAAAAAAAGGTGACTGACCATCATCCAACCGCGGAAAAAAATTAAGTTTCAACAGTTCATTCACCTGTGTATATATAAGTTCTATAGTTCCTCCATTTCCAGCTGTAAACATTGTAAAAACTTCAAGGCTCCGACAGTCCCGGAACCAAGATGGACGATCTTTAAGGATCTCTGCAATCTGTTTATGAATAATTAACTTCAAATCCAAATGGTTCATGAACCTTATCACATGAAAATAAGCCGCCTACAAAAGATGTAGCAAAATTTCTACCATTATCAAATGATGTACATTCTTACCTTTGTAGGCTCTAAACTTACGAGGCCGCAGGCTCTTGCTGCTACTCCACTGCAACTTTGTGAAATGGCAAAGATCCCAACCGAATCCGGACCAGGCTGGCAAACAATTGAATAAGATAATTCAGCACGCATAAGATGTACAACAATTTATACAATTTGATTACACGATTATTTAACAAGGGAGAAGAAAAACAAACTAGTATTTCCCAAATAATAAAAACAAGAAGCAACCTTCATCCCAGGCATCTGGACCCAATCAACAGCAGTTCCTGTAGCCTTGGATAGGAACTCTGCCAATGTCTCCTCCGCTACGGATAGGAGTCTGCCAAATATAGTAAAATAAAGATTAGATTATGTAAACACAAAACAATCACCCTGCCAGTAAATATTTACGTAAGGAATTGGGAAAGGTGAAATTTCATGGTAATAAAACTTACCCTGCAGGGTTATTAGCATCTCTGAGAGAATGCTGAGGAGTTGTCACCACAGAGTCGCAGCTTGCATCAGTAGTTGCAGCTGATGCCTACAAGAAAACCACTTAGAGGTTAAGTTCTAGCAACCACTAAATTCTACGGCAATTCAGTTGGCCATAATAAAATCCATTAAATTGGAATAAAAGCAAAACTTGCAGATGCCATTAATGTGTCTGAAATCTCACAACTTGGCTAAAACATAATAAAATTTATAATAAATAACTGCAAAAGGACAAAATTGACTTCCAATCCCGGACTAAACCAAAGAAAATTATTTTCCTAAAATCTTTAGATAAATATACTTACAGTATGCAATTGTTGGCGCATATATCCATTTTCACAAACAAGCTGAGAGACCTGTTTCTGCAATCGATCATTTTCCTCCATCAGCAGTTTGTTCATTGCCGATAATTTTCTGTTAACAGTCTGCAGTCTTGAGGACTCTTTTCTCTGCTTCTCCCTACACCTGCATACCCAAAAAACAAAATCCCCTTCTTTTTATCCCAAAATGCATAATCTCAAGGCCAAATCAAACACTAAAAACCTTCACTAATTGGAAATTGAATAAAACCCAATTTTCAAATCACCCCAAATATAGAAGAGATTGAGCAAAAAAAACCCGTTTGTAAAAGATAAATTTTAACAAAAAATATATATGGCCTTGAACTTTGATCAAAACTAGGAAGTTGAGCAAAACCCGGTTTTTAAAGTACCCAAAATTTGAACTTGATGCACCCCAAAGGGCAAAAACAATGAGGAAAAAAAAACCAGTTGCCCATCGGTCCTGTTCATATGTACCTGCGGTTCTGGAACCAGACCTTGATCTGTCTGGGCTCAATGTTTGATAAAATGGGGCACTCCCGGATCAACTGTTGCCTGCGCAGAGAGCTCGGCTTCGGGCACTCGGCGTAGACTCTCTCAAGAGCTTCAACTTGCTCGGATGTGTACCGTACATATTTTCCGGCATCGAGGTGCTTGTTTATACTGCTCCCACTGCTGCTCTCTCTGTGGTGAGCCACCGCCATGGCCATTTTCCCGAACCCCAAAAACCAACAAAAGCTCAAAAGCTAATATAGACAACAAAAGGTGGGGAGAAAAGAGAAAGGAGGAAGAGAGAGAGCTCTAGAGACAACTAGTTGGTTTTGGTTTTTCTTTAGATTTCAGAAGGAGCTTAAGGATCCCTACTTTGTAAAGTCCGTCTAGAGAGAGAGAGAGAGAGAGAGAGAGAGAGAGAGAAATTAAGTGTAACCGGTTGAGCAGGACTGGATTTTTGAGCCAGAAGATTCTTGGGTTTGTGTGAACAGAAGATCAATAGCTGCTTGCTTCTTGGTGAAGACCCAAATGGAGTTTTTGGTTTATAATATCAAGTCCGGGTTTTTTTTTTGTTTTTTTTTAATTTGTTCAAAGAAATCTCTGTTATTGGTTGCTGTAACTGAAACTTTGAATACAAGACAAAATTTCAAGCTGTTTTGACCTGAAAGAAACCCACTCCTTCTCTTTCCCAAAAAAAGTCCAAAAATATGACACAAACACAGGAAGCCCACTAATTTTTTTTGAGTTTCCAAAAACCACCACCTCAATCCCTGTCTTTTTTAACACAAAGATCTTTTTTTTTTGTTTTTTCATACAACGAACAAAAGCTTGTTACACAATGCAACCTTCGGCTTGAACAGAAACACAAAGCTCAAAATCATAGTGTTAGAAGAAGGTTAATCTCCAGAAGGATCAGAGAGATGGATGAAGAGAGAGAAACCCTAATCATAATCATCCTAGAGAGAGAAGCTGGTTTTGCCACTTTCCAGAGAGAATATGTGAGAGGATGTTATGGGGTTGGCTTCATTATTTGATTATTTTATCACGGAGACACAGAGAGGAGCTAAAAATACAGTGATCGGAGCTGAGCAGAAACAGTGGAGAATAAAGGAGAGGAGAGAGAGGGAGAGCGTTTATGTGGCACACGTATCGACAAAATTCAGCAGCGGGGAAGCTCCCAAATTTTAATTTTTAAGTAGTTTAACATTGAGGATTATTTATACGATGAATGCTCTTACGCTCGGTGCCATACTCTTCTTTTTTTTTAACTCACGTCATATTATCAGCATAATTATTTTCATACAATTTTTTTACGTTCAACATAAATTTATCAATTCTCATTATTCATTTTTTTTAATTTACTCTAGTTAATGTTAAAAAATTAAAAAGTGTTCTTGAGAAGTTAAAATAAATGTGTTGATTAACGATAAAACTACTTTACTTCTATTCACCATAAAAAAGTTTAAAAATAATTATCTTCCGACCCACTTATATTTTTCAAATATCCCGATCAGTTTTAAGTTCTATATAAAATAACTATAAATAATGATCAAATCTTAGATATTTTAGAAAAACAAATCAGGGTGAGGAATGAAGGGACAGAGCGGTGCAACTTGATTCGTTTCTTATTTTAAGTTTTTAGTTTTTTCTTTTCATATTCATTTTTTTTCTTTTATTTATTTTACGTAAGATTAAATTTAGTATTAAAATTATACAATAAAAAGGGGTGGAGAAATAAAATTAAGGGAGGACAAATCACACATCAGCAGTCAAAGCACTCTATCTGATTTCGGCGCATTTACGTCGTTGTCCCTAGTGTATCTTTGAAATGAGGTCCTAGACCAAAACGCACGTATCTATAGCCTATAGGGGCTGAGTCTCTTCTGTCATATCTCATATGTCTCGGTCAAGTAAACCAAATCTTATCTTGGCAGTAAAAACAAATTTATAAACGGAATTGGATCCCCTGGGCTTGGGCTCGGATCCTTCTGACTAACACATAAGGATTGTTAGATTTTGATCGAATGGAAGATCGTTGAATTTTGATCTAATAAAAGATCCTCTATTTGTTGCTACTATATCAAAACTCAACGACTCTTGTATGTCGATCAGGAGAGGCTTGAATTCCTTTATAAACCATATCTCTTTCAATTAATAAAAATCCATATCTGTCCAAAGGGGCTTTTGTTTCAAGTTTTTCCAAATCTCAATTCAATTTCTTTTATGTACAACGATAGTTTTTACATTAAAGAGACGAAGGGCTTCCGTTCAGTTACATAATAAGTAATTTAATTTGATATCAAATTTTTCATCTACAAAATTTAAATATAAGATCTTTTACTTACAAGTGAAGATGAATACTACCAAACAGTAGTACTGAATGGCAAGTCTCAACTCAATTTTTAAAATTAAAAAACAATTTCACTCTGTTTCTGTCTAGAGATACTTCAAAAATGACTAAAAACGTTTCTAATTATATTACGATCGTTTATAGTTGTCTTTGGTAGAAAAAATTAAAATTGTCTCTGACTCATAAATACTTTCTAAAATACACTTGGGATATGTTTTTTTCGGTAAGCACTCTCCAGTGTTTTTATCTATATATCTATATATAAAGTCAGCACCGAAAATAATAAAGTTTTCAATGTATTAAGCATGTCTTCTCTATTTAGAATGTTAAAATAAAAATAATTAATTAAATATTCAGAAAAATAAAAGATTCATACTTTTTTTTTTGTCAAACGATAAATTTTAGCAACCGATAAGATTTGAACTCACGTCGTCATTCAAGAACTTAATACATTTTCACCACTGTAGTTCTTACTTAGTGGGCAGTTTTTATTGTTTATTTCTCTAATTTGTAGAATAATTATAAAATCAACATTTTAAATAAATTACAAAATAAACTGAAAAAAAAGTGGCAATCAATTGCCACATGCAAGACAAAGGCAAATGACTAGTTTTTTTTACTCATAAATGCTTTTGGATGTCCAAAAAAATTAAAGGTATTTTTTATTCATAAACCCTTTCTGGATATCCGAAAAATTAACATGGCAATTAGGTTAATTCTAGTATTACATTTTCTCCACTTTTGAAATGATCAAAAGAAATAAACTGAGGAAATGGAAAGTTTGTACTAATTTTACATTTTTCTAAGTTTTGGAGATGATTTAAAATATTCTAATTTCAGACATCTTTTTGTTTGTATTTTTGAGCTTTGAATATTTGAAAATTGATGTATTTTGATTCTATCCAATCTTTTCAAACAGAAGATAATCTACTAACATAAATCTACCTGAAAAACATACAACCTAACTCAAGGACATATACATAAATTGATGTAGTGCACGCTCCTCCACGTGCTAAGACGGGAATATACACTATCTCGGGGGCCCAATTGGGAGTGTACTCTGCCCAAACGCTCGGTTCATGGCAGGTTGAGTGGCTGCTTGTCGGGACGCTGCTGGAGAGGTTATTCGTCTGCCCTTGTCCTTCTTCAGGACACCTCGTTTGGAACACATTGCATTTTCGTGTGCTGCAAGAGCTGGTTCACCAAGGTCGTCTGCTGTGCTAGGGCGCTCGTCAACTCTATGACTTGTCAAGACAAGTGTTGTTCACCATTTGGATTGGAAAAGCTTGGAATGAATGTTTCTCCTTGAGCAGTGGAAGTGTGGTAGACTCCGGGAGCGAGATTTGAGCTAGGAAATGTCAAATCCGCAAAAAAATATGGTGAAAATGCTCTTGGTTTGATCATCAGTCTAGAAATTTGGAGTCGAGACGGTCGAACTAGTCCTGGACCGATTTGGGCTGCTTGGAAAGCCACGGGAGCAGATTGAGCTACGAGAGCAGGCTGGGCCACGGGAGCTGGCTGCTCGGTGGGAGCAAGTTGGACCACGAGAGCAGGCTGGGCCACGAGAACAGACTGCTGAGTGGGAATAGGCTGGGCCACGAAAATAAGATACTCGGTGGGAGCAGGTTGGGCCACATGAGTGGGATACTCAGCGTGTGGCACACGTGGATGCGAGGCTAGGGCTCGGCTTGGCAACGCGTTGGGCTTGTGTTGGGCTTGGAGTGACATGGCTTGGGTCATGGCCTTGGTGCCACGAGCCTTAGATGGTACGGCTTGAGCTTGCTTTGGTGGCACAGCTCGCATCGTGGTAGTGGTGCCATGGACCTCGCCGCGGGTGCCCACCGCAGTGGTTCCCATGGTGGAACCTTGTGGTGATGGTGCCGTTCCCCCTAGGATCACATTTAGTCTCGTGGATCGCCGCAGTCCCATTTCTTGAATATTGGAATTTTCACTCATGGAGTTTTCTAAATTTCTAGCCATTGTATTTCTCTTTTTCATTTTATCAAAGAATCTTTGCAAATAAAAAATTCTAATAATAAGAACGTATGAAAAATACAAGTGGACTAGAAAATAGAGAAAAAACCGTTTTATGCGAGAGTCTTCTACAAGTGTGAATTTCAACTCTCAATAAAAACACCAATTTGTGGATGCAAATTTCTTCCTCCTTGATATTGGATAAAATTGCACCTACAAAACAAATAACACCTTCGGTCAAGGCCAAAAGCCTCACGCACCCACGATGAATGAGGGGGGCTTTGGTCAAAGAACCTCTGATGCCAAAGTTAGAATTTAGAGAGAAAAGTATTTGAGAGTTTTAGAGAATTTTAGCCAGAGTGAAGACATAGGTTTTTAGAGAAAAATGGGGTTCAATATGTAGAGCATGGCTGGTCCCCTTTGGAGAAAAGGTGGCCGGCCCTTTGGGGTATTTTTGGTGTGTAATGGGTGATAATTTGTGTAATGGGTGATTAACTGGTATAATGGGTGATTAATTGGTATAATGGGTGATTTAATTGGTGACTAATGGATTAATTAGGAAATAAATCCATTAATTAACCAATTAACCTAATTTTTATGGAATATTTTGAAGGTTATGGAATGATTGCTTTGTAAAGACTATGGAATGAGGAATTATGAAATAATTTTGAATTTGTTACCTTCTTTGGGAACTTTTGACTTGGTTGAGGGATGATTGCTCGCTGCTCGCGCGTAGGAATCCCATTATGCCTCAAGGATATTTTTGTCCTCCTTTATCCAAAAATTCATGTGTAGCACTATGATTATTTTTGGCTCTACAAATTCAATAGAATGTAGATAAAAATTGAATGACCGATTTTATTATGTGAATTCAACTTCTTTGATTGACTTATGAGAAGTTTCTTCAAGCATGGTCTAATATTATTCATTTACTTCAAATATTTGACTTTCTTTTTGTCATTAAAAAAATTATTGAAGAAATTCACGTATATAAATACATTTAGGACGTGTAAATAGCGTGTAACACATCGTGATTTAAAAAAATATCTTTTGCACGCGCTTGAGTACGAGTATGAAGGCTAGTCCATTATGATTAAATCCTCCATAAGCAGGGCCGAAAGACTGTTTTGAAACCATAAAAAGAGGAACAAGGACGACCAGCGGCTTTGAATATGAGTTCCAAGGCAAGTTTCGTTTAATCCAGACCAAACATCATCAAAAGTAAGAGAAAATTAAATTAATAAAACCTAAAATGCATGCTAAAGTGGATTTTTGTTTATTACGAAAATTTGTAGAAATGTTGCTGCTTCGAAGCGGCGGACGGCGCACGCATAAGCCTTTTTGGGCGGTTCTATTTAACCTTAGAGTACCGTAAGATAAACTAAATCAATAGAAAATAAATATATTAGTTAATATTGAAGTAATAATTTAATTATCAACAATTACGTTATATGATATATAAAATTTAAGATAAATAGTTGATCTCTCAAGCATTAGCTTAACATTGGGTGTATTCAATTAGGAATTTGAGAAATTTTAATGGATTTATAAATCCACGGATTTTTATAGAGTTTAATTGATTTGTAGTGATTCCATATAAAATTTTGATTCAATTCATTCAAAATCTCATGGGGAGAAGTGAGATTTGTGGATACTTAAAATACAATACAAAATTTCTCTAATTCTCTTTAATTCCTCAACTTTTTCAAATTCTTTAAAATCAATTTCTAATTGAATACACTAGAATGTTATAAACTTCTTTAAAATTCTAATTGAAATACATTCGAATTCCTAAAGATTTTAATACTCTGTCTTAAAATTTTGATTGAATACGGGTTGAATTTCAGAGAATCACTGAAA